GCATATCTAGCACATTGCAGTCTCCTACATGTCCATTTTGGCTGGTATGGCTATCACTTAATTTGCTGCCAAAAATTGCAAAGTCTAAGTGTCTAAATATAGACCTTCAGGAGATCTTACACAAGTCATTTAACTTCTATGAATATAATATTTTAGTAACATCTTTTGCTAGAATAGCATAAGAGAGTTATATGATGTTAGTGCGAATATCAAGAGATACTAATAATTTGGAATGAATCGATGGGCACACATGGGCACGGAAAGAAGTAAAAATCTTGGGAAATCAGGAAGGGGGCAGGGTGAGGAGAGGAGGGGTAAAAATCTAACTAACAGGAACAATGAACAATATTCAAGTGATGGGCACACTTATAGCCCTGACAAAAACATTATAAAGCTATCCATGTAACAAAACATTTCTAGTCCCTTAATATTTTGAAATAAAAAAATTAAAGTAAAAAAAAAGAGACAGAGAGAAAGGTACTGATGCTTAAATTAAACATTCCACAATAAATAATGTATCAACAGAGAGACACAGAATGTTTCTGGAAGGATTCTGGCACTGGGTTGACAATGACTAAGTATGAAGAAAGTTTCTTCTCCATGGTTTTAAAGTAAAGGCACATCGCAGTCTGGTTACAGATTTCCTGAGGTTTCTGTCACAGTAACTGTTGATTGAGACTGGGATGGTGGCAACGATGGTTGGACTTGGGTTTATATCCAGGGCTTCTTCAAAAGCAGTTCAGTGCCAGAAGGCAACCAACGTTAAAAACCCTTGACTTCGGAAACACACAACCCAGACTACTTCTTCAATGAGGGAGGGCTCACAGCCAAAGGTCCTTGGCACATAAGTTAATTAAGATCAACAGAAGAGAGACAATAAAAACTGGGGCTCTCGTTCATGTTTATGATCTGTGAAAAAATAATTTTATCTTGCAATTCTTGTCTTCTATACGGTGTTGAGAAATACTAAATGTTGAAGTTTTAGAAACCATTCTCTACATTTAATCTATCTCAAAATCTTTAACACCGACGAGAATTCACAGAAAGCTGTTAGTAACTAGTATTTTTTCCTTTCAATATTATAGAAGGAATGAATATTTTTAGATTAAAACAAACAGATTGCTTTTTGCTCTCCCTAGCACATTTTTGTGATCTTCAAAAATCGACTACTAAATCGATTATTGAAAATATGACACTCACACTCCACCGACGACACGAATTGATCCAATTCCATGGAGGTCCCCATTATTTTTTAAAAAATTAGAGACAGAATCTATATGTTCACTAAACTCCTTGGCCTGTCCACGGAAGTGAGGTTTTTCATAAATAATAACCTGAAAAATATTAAAAAATTATTTAACATGCTCATATTTTAGAATAGATATACACTGACTTACTTAAGTGACACTAAAGACCACAACATGAATAGGGACCATTGTCTTTTTCATTAATATATACTTACAACATAGCACAGTGTCTGATATTCACAAGAAATATGTAAGTCCTTATCATCAGAAAGGTAAAAATCTTAATAATATGTTTCTCTCATATTAATATACTCGAGTATGATTACATTGTTCTGGTCCTAGGACCATCTCATAGAGTTAACTGTCTTATAACTTATTCTTGAAATACCTTTATAAGTTTATCCTTCTATTTGGAATTTAATATAGACCTGCCTTATATTAATTGAATATCCCCTATAAGAAATAAACACTCTCTTGAGATTCCACAGTATAACAATAAGTTACCTATTGATTTGAGAAAACACATACATACTGTTTCTTACAACACTAACTGCTCCTATGGTCTTTACTATCCATTGAGAAAAAAACAGACATGCATATTCTTGAATTTAAATATAAAAGTTCCTAAAAATAAGAAATAATTGAAAAATTGTGATTTTTAAAATTGGATATTTGACTCAAATTGGGGGGAGGTGCAATGAGTGTTGCAGGGAACAAATTTCTAGCATTTTATTTACTTCAAATTTGGATCAGTACTGTATTTCGATTCTGCTATTTTGTGCTTCTTTACTTCCCAAGTACCAGCTGCCCTAAGTATGGGGAAGTGATAAAGTGATTATAGCATTAATCTACACACACTATCACTTGGTCCTATTTGTAGTTAGTGAAATAATTTGTGCACAACTGGCAACCCAAGAGCTTGGCAAATAAGACCCCACATTTAAACACACTAAACCAAAAAGTTATAGCTTCCTCATTTCTAAAAACTGGTAACATTATACAGAATAAAAAAATACATAGTACTGCTTCCACTGTTTTTAACATATTAGATTTTCATTGTGTGCTGTATTTGAAGTGACGAAGTTTTACTTGGGTTTATATAATACATGTTACATATGCTGACAACATTCAAACTAAGGAGCAATGATAATTTGATAAACCAGTCACAAATAATGTCTAACAACTTGCAAATTATGATTTTCTGTGATAATCAATCATATACACCTACACCCTGTCAAACTGCAAGAGTCCAAGGAAGACCCAGACTGTCACAACTGGAGTTGTGATTCACCAGACTAGGAGACCAAGACAGGAGTCACTGAGTGTCGCAGCTAATTCTGCATCTTTTAGATCAATAGTTTGCAACTTTGACTGCATGCTAGAATCACCTAGGGATCTTTGAAAATTCTCAACCACACCCCAGATCAAAATAGTATCTCAGAGGGTGGAACTTAGGCATAACTATTTTTTAAAACTTTAACAGGTATGATTCCAACATATAGTCAAAGTTTATTAGATACATGAATTTTAGAAGATTACATCTATACAATTGAGAGAATGTTAGTCAGTTCCATAAATGAGGACACCTAGAAATGGGAGGGTTGGAGAAGTTGTGTCTTGTTTTGGAGGAGAGGAAAAGAATGGTGAATCCCTGTTTCATACCTTCCTCTGGAGGTTCTGTAACCTAATTAAAAGGAGGCCTGTTTACATCTTTGATCACTGCACTGGTTTTCCTCCTATTTTTCTTCACATGCATTTTGTAATTCTATTTCCTCTTTTCTTTCCCCAGATCTGCTTGATCATGGCACCACTGTCACCTCAGTGTTCACTGCCCTCTACTCTTCCCTTCAAATATTCATACTTACAAACTGACATCTGATGAGAGCTACCTACACCTCCTTCTAATCACTCTTGACCTCCTTTTCCTGAACATCACTTCCAAATGCCTGCTAGATCGCTATACTTGAATATCTAGCTGCTGTCTTAAGACTCCCAAAACAAAAATCAAACCCATCACCTTTCCACCTTGTAGTAGCCACTTAGTGGGTGTGACTAGGTTGCCAGTGCAGACCTCCATCTTTGCAGACTGACCCCACTCTGCATTCACAGCCCCAGGTGTGCCCTCAGCAAACATTCTGTGCACTTGTTCCCACCACCACAACATGCAGTAGCAAGGTATTATCATATACTGAGGTAATTTTTTTATTCTAATAGTTCAAAATACTTGACAATTAATACTCAGACTTTTTAGCTTGTTACAAAAATCTGTTCGAGACTTACCTTTAAGTTCATAGGCATTTCCACTTTCAGTCCACCCTTAAGAGGATAAGACATTTTAATATTAGATACGTAAATATTTAAAACATTTGAAAGCAATATTTGAAAGTGACATGTGTAGGTTACATAAAAAATCTGATTAGTGAAGATTACATACCAAATTTAAGTTGTGGTAAATTTTAAATTTTAAGTATAGAACTCTAGTCAAAAGCAAGTCAAATTTCTATCAATGTAGATGGGGCAAGAAATCTTAAAGAGGTGCTTTCCAGATTAATACTACTTCAAGGAGGGAAACTGAGCTTTAGTCCTTGAGCACACACGATCAGTTAGTATTTAATCCCACTTCAGAGTGTCCCAAAAAGGAGAGTGGAATTGCTGGTAGATTTAGAAATCTCATTTGGCAGAGTAGATTTCTTAGCCAATTAATCCAAATGTCTTCCCTACAATTACTTGGGCTTTCTAAATTTTAGAGCACTGAGCTAACCACATTTCCTCTTCCAAGTTCTACCAACACTTTTTATCACAATGTTTTGTGACCTCAAGGTCGTACAGCATAAAAAGTAACCACCTCCTTACAAAAACTCTATTTCTGTAATTTTCTAGTTTCATATGCTATTCCACATTGTGATATTTCTTAGAATTTCTCAGTTTGTCATGGTTTCTATTTTTTAAAAAGGCACAGAACAACCAGAAATGGCTTCTCATATAGCCAACATTTAACTGAACAGTTTGCTCCTCAAATAAAAATATTTGCGACAAAAAGAAGTATGGCAAATACTGCAGAAACTTATTATCTTTAAGAAAGTAACACTGACAGAATTGCCCATTTATTATTAATGCTGAGATTTATCATCCATTACTGCAGTGAAAGAGTATAATTTACTACAACTAATTTTCTAATAATCATCCATAAAGCAAATTCAGAGCTTTATTAAATATTCAGAATTTTCACAGAAGAATACTTATAAGGCAACTAACTGCATGTATTGTGATAAACTTGGCAAAATACAAAGTACATTCAGACATGTTACATACATTCTCTACAATATAAAGAAACAGAAAAACAATATGTAAATATTAATAGTTTACCAATTCAGTAATACACATATTCATTTCCTGAGATTGAGATGCATGAGCAATCATCACGGCTATTTAATTTTGGACTCATGGATACCTGGGAAAAGAACACTTCTTTTTAAATTGTCTTACCATTTGAAGTGGATGCAATGACTTCATTTCTGCTGCAGAAATCTCAAAGAGGCCATGGTCCTCCTCCAAAACTGTAGCTTGCCCCTTAAAATTAATATCTGGGTAGGCAAGCCAACTAAATGAGAAATAAATGGTCAGTTAAAGTATAATAGTAATACTTCAGTTTGGTTCTGTAAGAGTAAAAAAGGCTACCAAAAAAAAGATCCTCCATCACAGAATCATACTAGTAAAACACACTCAAAGTGATTAGTCAGACAGTATATAACAAGAGTTAACATGTTATTATTTACCCTCACACACTATCTATCCTATAATAAGTCTAATATATTTTTCAAGTGCTAGGCCTTAATTTTCTTATAATTTTCCAATACCTAACACATGTGGTACCTTTAATTCAAGCAGGATATAATTTAAAAAAACAGAACCATTCTACTATATCTCATTCTTTTTTAAACTGGGGCAATCAGAGGCAGGGATTCCATCAGGCATTTTACATTTTGATCCACATTTTTACAATTGATATCAGTTCTACTGGCTGCCTAAGGAACAGTATTTGAAATAAGATTCCCGAAAGACCCATCTTGTCTTCCAGCTAAGCTTGATAATTACAGACATTTCTCATGGATAGGGCTAATTACTGGACCTGCCCAAGAGTTCTAATTCATGGTTGGGGGAGACAAAAAATGATGTCCTACAGTGACCCCAAAATTGTACACTAACCATCATCAGAGTACACAAAAATAGTGAAAGAGAGAGGAGGGGTCCACATGAAGCCAGGTGTCCACAGGCTTTTGTGAATTGAGCCAATCTGGGACTGAATTTAGCCTGAACTTAGACCCATAATAGATACCTTTAGATTCAGAGAGGCCTTATATCAAATCCATGCTTACCAGCTAGTAGCCTGGGACATATCACTCATCTATAACATGAGGGTAACATCACCTACCTTGCAGGAATAGAGGAGTAATAAAAAAGCAGAGGCATTCAATAACTATTAATATGTAGACACTCCAGAAATAGTTTAGGCTTGAGTTTTAGGCCAGGACTTGTTTTTTCATTTTGTTTTTCTTTATGTTTTCCTAATAACATTTCTCAGAATATAGCCAGGGATATGTTTTTGTTTTTGTTTCTTAATTGCAAAATTTATTGTATGAAAAGACAATGGATCCATCTATCAAGAACTACTAATACACCTGAGAATTCTGTATCTGCTCCTGTGAGCCATACATCAAGGCCTTAATCAGATCCAAAGACAGAATCTGTTTTAACCCCTATAATAGTATTTCTGGGGTATCTAGGAATATAAACAAAATTGACCAAAAACTTCAAAAATATGTATGTCACTTATTGAAATGTTAACTTTGGTGGCCATCAATCACTATAATAAAACGAAACTGATACGTACACTCCTGACTTCACAGTGAAGGACATAGATTTGGGGATATTCAGTTCTTCCAAATTAGGGATTGCCCGCTGTATATAGATAGGACAACTTCCTTGGTCAGATTGTGGGCAAAGCTCTATCTCTGGAATGCTGCAATCCTGAAAAAAAAAAAAAATTGGCTTTGAAATCATCTAGAGACACACAGTCTAGTATTCTCAATGCTCTGGACACACAGTTACAATTATTCTCATTGTTCAGTTGAATTTCTTCACAAAAACAACATAAAGGAAATATTGTTTCTCCTTGCCCATTTTTTTAAAAAATCAGTTTTTCTAAGGAGTTCTGTTACTAATATAAACATTATAAGTATTATTAATGGAAAAACTGTTGTCCCAATTTTTCTGCTTTGTTTTTTAAAGGCTTATTCCATTAAGCAATGTTCAGACTTACCAAACTAGTTGAGTGCCAAATGTCTGTAAGCCTTCCTTCTTAGAAACATAACAAAGCCATAGGGAGGAAGGGAGTTAAATAAAAGCTGACCTCATGGGGAACATAAAAAATAAATAGGCACTAGCCCCTTCAGTGTGTTTATCTAATTTACATTGACAAAAGAAGTAGGAATTAGAGGTGAGGGTAAAGGAAATCTGTTTTCCTACTTGTAGGATTCTGGGTTTTTTTAGTGCAAGTTGGTTTGAAGAAAAGCATTATGAAATTTGACCTGCACTCCATCACAGTCTTAAAAAATTATGCACCTACTGTCACCATGTCCTGTCAAATCCTCCTTTAAAATTTCATTTGTGTACATTTCTTCTCACTTATTTCCACCGTCGTGGCCCTTCGTTAGGCCCAGACTTTGATTATGGGCCTACTCACAACCACCAGACAAGCACGAAGGCCACTTTCCTCACGACACTCCTTGGCTTATGATCCAATCACATCAAATTCATATTTCCGTTTATCCTTCTATAATACAATACGGAACCAAACCAGCAATTCACATTAACTTTCACAACTCTGTAGTCATACTGGTCTCTAGGCCATCTCCACTCCCACTCTGGCCTCTGTATGCTTTGCAGAAGTCTCAACAAAAGAATTATCTGTAATCTTTTTCTTTTTCTTAAGGGGTGGGAGGTTGTGAGGAGGGGTGTTCAGTTTCCTTGTATTCTGTTGTTGTTGTTGAAACACAGTCTCACTCTGTCACCGCGGGTAGACTGCAGTGGCATCACTGTAGCTCACAGCAACCTCTAACTCCTGGGCTCTAAGTGAGCCTTCTGCCTCAGCCTCCTACGTAGCTGGGACTACAGGTGTGCACCACAAAGCCCAGCTG